CTCCCAGTTTTCGCGGGCTTTCCTACCGTTGGTCCAGAAGTGATTTACTACACCACAGTACCAAAGCACCTTGTCCAAGTCTTCGAGGAGATCGTTAATCAACGGCATCGGTTACACCACCTGTCAGTCTCGTCAAGCTGTTTACCTATTGGTAATCGATGCAGAGGCGGATATCCACGCCGTTGACCTTGATAATAACCACTATGGGTGACGCCCAGGGCGAGGTTGAAGGGGTAATGAGCACCGCCGACAACAGTCTCTTGATGTACATGGATAACCTCTCACGGAACTGCAGGACTACTCTTCGATAGCGTTGGGCTACAGGTTTCGCTTACCCAACATCAATAGCACAGATCGCCGTATGGGTTGCGGGGAGCAGTGCGTTACCAGTTCCGATTAAGAGGTGACGCCGTTTTCATATAATGCGACGCAGCCGTTGGGACTCTTCTGGCGTCGCATCTGGATCCTCTACCCGTATATCATCTAGCTTGTATAGCTTCGACCTTCGGCAACACAGCCTTGTGGTTCTCGAAGTCTTCATGGAAAATGTCCCCGCCTTCGTGATAGAAGCAGAATAAGTCATCCCTGTTGTCGTCAGCGTCTCTGTCCGGCTTCACCAGCACTTTCGCTGGTCCGCTATCCCGTTCCGGTTCTCCAGTCCGATTTCCCAGTTCAAACTGTCCCTGATCTGTCTTGGTGGCTTCCATAGCAGAGTGATCTGGATCCGTTGGTTCAAGCTTTGGTGAGCTGCCGCCGTGTCTATGATCTTCATCTCCACGTTGGGTGATGGTCGGACTGACATCAGTTTTCGCGGTTTCGACTCCTTCCTCAAGTTTTCTGTCGGTGGGTCGTACTGCGGTCTGTCGACCAACGGTTCTGCCACTACTTCGGCCGAGTTTTATATCGGTGTTTCGTCGGTGGTGGCTTGGAAGCTAAGTTCTGCCATACTGCAATTCTTCGTGATCCTACCGAGACGTACCCCGGTGGTCCGCGGTACGTGATTTCCCGTTAACCAGATTCCGATACGGTTGATCTGCCACGTTCGTGATCCCCAGGTACTACATCCGGCCTAGTCCTCTAACCACCGTCGGGACCCATAGATCTCATCGGGTAACCCACAATGTCTGCTTATCCGACAGCGACTCCGGATAGCGATCTCCACGAATTCTGCCACTAGAACAATACCGTGTTGGTCGAACGTGGTCAGTTTCGAGTTTCCACTAAAGGGCTGTCGACGCCCAGATAGCTGGATGCGTACCCCGTCTGGGAGGCACAATGATTCATCACCCAGATCGAGACGGATGCCCGCCGGGGTCGTGAAGTCTATTCCAAGATCGCCTTCTGGCCCGTCAAAGCGCCGACCCATGCGTCAAAGTAGTACACGTATATTCCTGCGAGCGTGTTCTTGATGCGGGTTTCTAGCACGTCAGTCGCTTCCAACATCTCAGGTTGTCGTGTTTGTGGACCCGCAGTGCGTACAGTTGTTCTGCGACATTGTGGAGTGGTCTGCAGGGCTGTCTTTGTGTGCCGGCGTAGGTGCTTGTATTACCCGTTCCTTAGATTCTGCGAGGTACACCTGGCGACACTAGTCTTCTTGCTTCGAGCCACTGCTGTCTTCGGTCTTCTGGATCACACGCACGGCTCGCGCATTTTTACGCCGGTACGGACTAGTTTTCGGGGGTCGTCTTCTGGCGGAATTGGTTTGATCCGGCATCCGCTTTGCCCTGGCGGGCTCGTAGGATTCCTTCCGGATCTTTCGCGTTCGTCAACAAAATCAGCGCCAGTTGATGGACCAGATTGTGATCATCTAGTGTTTGGATGAGGTGTTCGACATGTTCGCGTCGAGTGGTCGCCGTGTCATCCTTGATCTGCAACTTCGCTCGAATGCCGGCCACATTGTGTCGGTGGAGGTACTCCGTGGGCGATCGTTTCTTCGCGTGGTAGTACTGTCTCGGTACAGACACTACCCTTTCGCAGCATTGTGTCTGGAAAGCCTCCAATAAGCTTTTCCAATTGCCTCGGGTTGATCAGTTCAGCTGTCGATACCAGTTGCGCGCTGGGCCGGTGAGCAGTTCGCCCAGCACCAAGCACTTCTCGCGGTCTGGAGCTTGATCTCGGACAAACGCCGACTTCACCTTTCCCAGCCAGCTTCTCGCACGATCTTCGTCTAGGTCTTTGTCAGATTACTCCTTCAGTTCCGAGATCGCGGATATTCGGGTCCGGGGCGCCATCGTCGAGGAAGTAGGTATCGGTCTGTAACTGCTCCTGCGGATGCGACTACTGCTTGCCGTGGTGTATCGATGCTCCGGTTATGTGTGTCGTATTCGCCGTGCGACTCGTGAAATGACTCGACGAACGCCATCTCCAAGCCTTCGGCATTCTGGTCGGGTCGATCCTCCTGTTTGTTTCTCCTTGTGGTATCAATTTATCGCCGCGTTGAAGAATGTCTGCATCCGCTCAGGACTTCGTACTATCGTCACTGGTGTTACGACCGGCGTCGACTCGCATGAGGATCGTTCCGGCTTAACGTTAGCCTGGCGCCCTGCAGCATTGCTGCCCTTGATGGGCCGAGAGTCATACGCTGAAGGTGTCTGACCCGGCTTTGGACGTGGTCGACGCGTATTGTGACGACCCCGTTTGATAATCCGGGCTACGGACTGGTGTCCGTTTGATCGTCTCCGGCAGTGCGACTAATCCAACTAGAGGCTCCAGCTTATTGTATAGCAACATGGCTGAGCGGTGGATCACCGTCGTCTCCAGGTCGAACGACGCGCTCGTGGTTAATGCCCTCGGCATAATGCCAGTGTCTTTGAATGTGCGAAGGAGTTGTGTTGCAGCTTCCAACTGTCGAGATGTTGGTGGGTCGTCGGGTCGTGGAGCTCTCCGATCAATCACCGGATACTCAAGTAAGAAAGCGAATAGGTCTTTCTTGTGGAAGATATGTGCCAGTTCTTCCTCTGTCCACGGTCGCTCGTCACGATCTTCCGCGTCCGAGTTCGGAGCCTTCCATTTCTTCTTCCCCAGCTCCGACTACTTCTTCTTTGAGCCGACACGTGAAGTCGGCGGGGAGTTAGTGGAAGAAGTTCCTTCAGTTCGTGCCGTCCAAGCTTAATCCGGCGGACCGTGACTCTCGTCACAATCCGTAAGGCTCCCGAAGGAGCCTGGTGAGGGGGGCGAGGATTTTCTTCCAGGCCTATGTCAGGACCTTCCTCCTTGGCATCGTCTGAGTTCATCCCAGCAGTCAGGTTTTGCGTGTATCCTGCTTAACGCAGCAGCGTCTGCAGCGATACACCTTCCGCCAACGCCTCAATCCCTGGTTCTAACTTGGTCTTGCCGGCATCTTCATCGGACTCACGGTGAAATCGCTTTGAGAAACCAGAAGATTCGGGTACGCCCACCATTGTAGCGAAGTGGCTTGGCTAAAATTGGTGACTGCCGCTGTCGACCTCGCTACAGTGCCTCGGACGACCGACTAACGGAGGGGGTACTCCGAATATCAGCTGACGCTGAGGGTCTTCTCACCTTCTGTAGCCGTCGGTGGGGCGGGATTGTACTCCTCCGGTGACTTGAGGATGCCCTGGTGGTCGATCTCGGGGGCCATATGGACGGTACTTGTGATTGGTGACTGCTGCGCGGTTACTTTTTCACGCGGCGTCGGGTGCGGGGTGTAGATCAATAATCGATCCACGTGTCCTTGTGTGTGTGTTTTGATTACTTTCCTTCTTTCCTATGTTTGCCGCTTCCGATAGCGGCGGCTTGAGGGGGGGGTAATCACTCGCGATCTAGGGTCTCTCGGTGTCTACCCTTCGTGGGCTCTGGTGTCTCCTTGTTCGTCAGGAGGGCCAATGTACGATCCCGGCCTGGTATGGAGTGCCACGTGGCTTAAGATGAGAAGGAATTCAATGTGAGGGGTCCAAAGAATATTTTGAAGTCTGCCTATCTCTCCCTAGCATATCCGCACCACCACTCATTCCTAAATGGTACCTACGTGTGCCGTAATCACGGTGCCCTTGAACCCATATCAGCCATTATCGTCTTGTACCGAAAACTTGGTTCATCACTCTAAGTTCGCAGATTGAAGGTCGACCACCGAAGAACGCAAATCGAAGATCGACCACCGAAGATCACAGATACGAAGATCGTAGATCAACATTAACACTTGATCGATCTAGGCTTTGTGTGTACCACGTAGATCGATCTCGGTCGATCTTGGTCGATCTTGGTCAATCTTTGCCAGATCGACATTGTAGATCGATCTTGGTGTGTGTCATACGAGCATGATTACGATCGCGGATCCCATTCTCATGTGATTAATAATCAGTCGCCAACAGTTGCCACGAGGCACTGCGACACGTGGCATACTTTTAGAAGAGTCGCTTCACCACGTGTACTCGTCGGTGGTTGGAACTTACTCTTCCGGAAACAGCAGGAGAGGTCCAAGTGCTGAAATTCTTGAATGTCTTGGCGAGACGCAGGGATGTAGTTAACAGCGCGGGAAGCCTTCGCTCTGTTACCAGGTGAGTTGATCTGGGGTCCATGTGAGTAGTCGAACGTGGATCACCGGTGGCGGATCTTAGATCCGGCCGTGTAAGTTGTGATGATGCGTTTGTTGGGGTTGATCTTGCGATTCCTTTACGTTACTGGCAATCTCCTAGGACTGGATCTGGGGGGAGATCGATGGATCGCACGGCCAAGGACTAAATACCATGGATCCGGAGCTTGCACGTTTAGAATAAATATTAGGTAGTTGGAGATGGCCAATATATTATCCGGTTATCCGAACTACACTAAAGCCAATAATGATAATACGAGATCACCTCGTAGGGTCGATATATGTCCTGATCCGAGTTGCCGTAATGCACTAAATGTGGGTCAAATAAAGAAACCAGCCTCTTGTGCCCAATGATGCAAAGTCGATTCTCCGTTATTCCTATGCCTTTGATCCTGATTTGTACTACCTGGATCCATGTACCTTCTCTTCTAGCAGCCGCTTATCTTTGGGTCTTGATGTACACTGCCGATTATACATACCGCATAATCGTAGTCGTAAGGGTCAGTCCACACACTCTGGGTTGCGATACATATGATTATTACAACATTTTACACCGCACAATACAACGATTTAGAGCAGAAAGCAGTTTACCAAGATGCGGTTGACCTTACTCGCTATCCGAACTGTCATCGCCGATACCAGCATCATCATCAGAATCTACAGTCGCATCGACCAGGTTGAGTCTCACTCATTCATCCACAGTCGGGTCAATATCACCAGCATTGACGAAGTCATCTTCAATAACCCGTGTGCCCATCAGTAATCCTACCTTCCGCAATCCACTAGTAAT